CTTATTAAAATAGAGTAATGCTCCTTAAAGTGCACGTGTAGACACACCCACTGTCCGGCAAACTGCATATCTGGTTAAAGCTAGAACTATCACAAGAATGGCTTTTCTCCTGGTGTTTCAGAAGCACTGCTTCTGGTTGGAAAGGAAAGATAACAGGGAGAAGAGGACAGATATTTGCACAGTTTTGAATCCTAAGGAAAGTTCAGTTTCAGTCTGAGTTGAAGATAAAAGAAGGCCCATTATTTTATCTAGTCCAATTCATTCCCTCCCTCCACCACCACAAACCTTTTTGACATCATAAATAGGTTTGAAGTATATACCTCACATGTTGACACAAAGACCCTGAGCCTTGTACCTACTAATCTGGTTCATTCTGGCCAGATAATGAATATAAATAGGAAAACTGAGTCTATATAACTCCCTACCATTGATTTACTCTAGAAATAACCTTATCTGAAGAGGATGGTGTTTCATTAACCTGAGCTGCCTAAGCCCAAAACAGAAGGTCCTGAGTTAATGAGAGAGCAAGCAAAGGCATGAGGCAAAAGTTATTCTCTCTGCAATTGGACAGAAAAGAGTTAAAAATAACTGTGTGCGCAGAACAGGCATGAAAGTCAAACTGAAATTTCAAAGAATTCAGTGTACAAGAACTGTTCGCAGATCCTACAGTTAAATGGCAGGGACCCTCCAGATCTGAGACTGCTTGAGCAAGACAATTTTATTTCTGTGCCCAAAGAACTGGCAGGGGATGTCTTTATCTGGGGGCTCCTTTAAAGGAGAGAGCCTTATCAACTAGTGTAAGGAGGTAGGAGTACTGTGACATAAATTTCTGTTGGCACATAGAAGGATCTTCATAAGCAGAGGAGAGTTTAACACTGTTCTGAACTAATTTTTCAGGAATGAGCTTTAGAAAAAGCTGTCTGGTCCCTTGACTGCCTGTGTGAGTCACTCCCATCACTCAGCCTCTCTATGTAAGAAAGGGTTAAGCTGCTGATCCTCTAGCTAACCACCTCATCCTGTTCTGTCGGCTAAGTGGCGCCTCTGAGTTAGTGAGGGGCTTCCAAAACCCCTGAGACTTCGCCGTGTGAGCAAATCAGAAAGCCAGGACTCCCTCCCCAAACTCTTTGTTGTTGATGCTGTTGCTGCAGAAAACACACTTTGAAATCACAGTATATATTCATCAACATTCCTTTCATCCTGAACGGGACAGTGTGCTAAAACAGTACATGGGAGGGGGAGGGAGAGAGACAGAAAGAAGTGATACAGAGGAGTCTGGATGACCATATGCACAGGACAAATGAGCTATACCCAGAGGAGAAAAAGGGATCTGGGGAAAACATGGGCTAATCCTGGAAATAAGAGAAAGGCATGGGTAAGAGAGGGAAGGGAAATGTTGGAGGCACAGGCAGCATGTGATGGCAGGAGAAGGATCTGTAGCCCAAAGTTCTCAGATCCTGTCTGATACAAAAACCTTAGGCATCAGACTGTGCAAGTGCCAGGTATGAGACAGTGTACAAATGCCCAGGAGGTGTGCATGCATGTGTGCTTGTGAGTGTGCCTGCACTTTCCACCATATGTGACTAAGTGCTCCTATGTTTGCAAAAGGGACAGCAAGGACAGAAGAGCTTGCATGAGGGCATATTCTCAGATCCTGAAGCATTACACTTGGGGAAACTGAGTCACAGCAAGACCAAAGTCTCCAAGTTTTTAGTGTCCTCTGGACTTTTGATCACATAGAGACATGCTTTACCCACCTTGATCCCAAGCAGACCTATAAAACACACTTAAGAATCTGGATTTATTCCTTTGGGCTCTTTCTCACCAGACCTCTCCTGATGCAAGGAAGTAACGAGGCAGGTTAATCAGCCTGTTTTCTGCACCTTTCTGTCCATCCTACTGCTGCTGTCTTGCTTCATTCACAGCTTTCTCTGAGCTGCTTGACCCCCTCTTGCTTAGCAAAGTGACAAAACCATCATCATGAAGTAACAGTGGCCTTTGAGCAGGGAGCTGAAACCACAGAAAAAAAAAGAAACCAGAGAGGCTTTCGGGGGACGTAAATTAGGAGGAAGAATTCATTTAGCCTGTGGGGGCATGAGTAAAATATTGAGTGGTTCTGAACACCTCATTGTGTACTCCCCACATTGACACCCCACCCAGGGGTTGCATTAATAATTGATACTAAGTCTGCAGGCCACATTGGCCCCTGACTCCCTTAGGAATATGGAATTTCTCAACTATGGGCATTTCATTCTTCTCCTAGGGGCTAAGGCAGCCTCTCCAGTGCACCTCATGGAGACTTTTAGGCAGGTTTTCTCTGCAATTAGCACAAATCCCCTCTTGCCCCCCTCCCCACATGACTAAATTCAACCATTGAAGCCAGGGGATGGTTTATTTCCCAGGTTAGCACAAAGCAGGGGTCTCTGCATGCCCCTGGAAGCCAGCAGAACAAAATGCACTAAGATGCTAAAGGGCCATTTGTAACCAAATCCCAACACACCAGATACTATTGGGATTATGTCAGAAATATTTTCCCAGAATGCCCTCCCTTCCATCCCCCAACAAAAAAACAGCCCTCCTACAGATGTTCAGCGTCCACACCACAGATGTCGCTCTTCTTGCAAGATGAGCTTCCCATTCCATTCCCAAATGCCCCTGATGTTTTGCATGTCGCAATACAAGGGGCTATTTCTCCATCTTCACTTTACCTCCACAAATGGGCTGGATGTCCAAAGGAAAAAAAAGGGGGCTAGTCTACTTCCCTCATACCACTGAGTTGCTGTTTACACAGATCTTTGAAGATATCAAGTGCTAAAGATTAGTATCATTATCCCCATCTAGTAAACATACTTTCCCTTCTACAGGAGTTTGCTCCTCTGTTCCAGTTTTGGTCTCTCCTTTACTAAACTTAATCTGGCCCTTTAAAGGGTACCTTGCAGGGTTTAGCTCCTACAGAAGGAGCCACATAATGGCTCGAGGAGCCCAATCCAAATCACACAGAAGTGAACTGGTCCCAACAGCAAAACTGGCCTTTACTTTACCAAGAGCAAGTTCAGACCCTCAGGACCAAATCTTACTGAGTGCAACTTCAATTCCCACTCCAGCATCTCACAAAACGGCATCTTCAGTAAAATCCCAGAGCTCCTGTCTACAGAGTGCTGATCCGGCAAAGAGCTGAGCTCTTCCCAAAAAGTTCTGATTGTCCCTAATTCAGACTACACTCAGCAAGAAAGCATGTTCTGCTCAGCCCTGGCAGTACTGGGTTGAACCCTAAGTACCGTGAGAGTAGAGGCACTCAGCACCTCTGCAGGATCAGTCCCCTAAATCCAAATATTCCCTCCCTCTCCACCCTGACCCCAGCAAACTCACACACACCACTGGGGACCAAATTCCCAGTTCCCGTGTCACTGGGGCTGCACCTCCACAGACCTCCCCTCCCCACTAATAATGACCGACAGCTAAAACATTTGTTCTAACACATGAGCTTTTGAATTTTGTCAGGCATTTTAATGGCACAGGCGATAACCTCTCCCCTTTCCTCCACCAATCGGAGAAATATGAAACTTGGAATCCAAGCAATAGAGAGAGAGAGGGAACATGACAGAGCACAGTGCAGAAGGAACACAAACTGCTGAAGATATGAGAAGATTGCTCCCTTCCCAGAACATTTAAATTATTCTATCCTCTGTGAGCCTTTACACCTCTGGGCTTTCCTCTTTCTCCCCAACAGGTTCAGAATTTAAGTAGACATAGTCAGCCTGATGCTCCAATGGTGTAAGCCAGTGCAGCTCTAATGATATTGGTGGAGCTAGTTTGGTGTAAAATGGTGCAACTCTACAGCTCTGTGGATTTACATCAGTTGAGGATCTGACCCAAAGACTTCACCTGTCCCCTTCTCGCAGCAAGCATTCGAACATCAGCTCTTCACCCAGAGATCTGTAGTGCATCAAGAATTGTTTCTTCAAAGATAGCGTTTATTGCTAAAAATGTTTTGATCAATCATAGTTCATATTTACATTGATATGTTTTTAAAGGAATATTCAAGTAAACATTTCCAATATTTTCTGGCATAATCTCTAGCTTTTTTCCTATACACAAACATTAAAAATAAATAAACTGTACACAGAAAATGTCTTTTAACAGCTCTACATTACTATATGTATTCCCAAACAACAAAAGACTCCACTCTTTCATAGCTTTGTACTTTAAAAAAAAATCTTCTTAATTAATCATTATACACTTTAAAAAAAAACCTAGAGGACTTTGCAAATTAGTTCAAATGTCAGTGACAAGATCTGAAGACAAAAAATACAGCAAATAGAAATTAACATCTTAAAGGGATTCTGTGTTGCCTTTTTTTTCCTTTTTGTTTTTCTTAAATCTTTTTTACAGGAAAATTTCCCCTTCCCTTTTGCAGGGAAGTACTCAGATTCTACACGGTTGGGTTTAAAATGTGGTCCTATGTCTTTAAAATAATAATAATTATTATAATAATTATAATAATAATAATAAAAAACAGCTGCAATTTCCCCCCTTCCTTTTTAAAATCTCTATATTTACAAGGCTGGTAATTTTTTTTGTTAGAACACTATATATGTATAAAAATAAACATCTGATTGTAGTGCTTAGCTTTGCCTCTGGCCTGCACTGCAGTTCCTTTCAGTTTTGCTTTTCCCGTTTCAAATAAAATAAAATAAAATAAGTCAAATAAAACAAAACAAAAACAAAACAGTGCAAGGGGCATAAGAGGAGAGAAACGAACCAACGCACAGATTCTCTGGGCGTGTTGTGTGTGTGTCAATCTTTTTTGTGTCTTTCCAGTCTTAGGGTCTCAGTGTGGAGGAGTTTGGGGTGGGAAGAGGACATGTCGCATACTAAGACACCACCACATACTGGGTTAGATGATGCCTCCAAGGGAGGTTGACAAGAGAGAGCACTGGCACTCTGAGATCGCCAAGTGTGGGGACCGGGCTCCAGGCACTGGAGGCAGCCTGTGGCAGGCAGTTAAACAGTGGCACTCAGATCCATCCCCAGGTGCTCAACTGGGATCCAGGTGAGGTCATATGGGAGCAATGACACTCTGAGATGCCTGAACTGAGCCGTGGGTCTGGACTCCAGGGCAGTGGGGATAACCCGCAGCTGTAGCTGGTGCCCAGGAGAGGTCACACACATGCGCTGGCACTCTGAGATCCATCCCCAGGTGCCAAGCTGGGGCCCAGGAGAGGCTGCGTAACAGCTCTGGCACTCCGAGATGCCCAAGCCATGGCGCTGGGCCCCAGGGCTCGCCCACGTGCCCCGCTGCTGGGGCAGGCCACCCCGTTGGGGTCAGCAGGAGCACTTGCACTCTGAGATGACCGGGTACTGCACAGGGATCCAGGTGCAGTACTTCTGTGTGGACCAGCCCTGGCAGTGCCACCTCAGAAAGGTCTTGGTGACCGACTTGACAGGCTTGCAGTACATGCCCTCAGGGAAGGAGCAGGACTTCTCTGTGAAGCAGTGCCCCTCCTTGATGTAGCGGGGCCAGAAGCGGAGGCCCAAGTCCTTCCAGGCGTAGACCACGGGGCAGTATGTGTAGGCCCAGAGCCACTGCAGGAACTTCCTCCGGGCTTTCTTGCCCATCTTGATGCGGGCCCCGTAGGGCGCCTCGCCCAGGTCCAGCTTCTTCAGCTCGCCGGGCAGCGGCCCCGACACCTTGAACCTGTGCAGGGGGTCGGGGCTGGAGAGGTTCAGCTGAGCCGGGGCCACCACCGCCATGAAGCCGGGGTCGAAGTGGCTGCCCAGCTTCTTCCTCAGAGTCCGCTCGTCCAGGTCCTGCTCCTTGGGGTCGTAGTCGGGGTCGGGGTGCTCGATGATGTCCTTGACGGGCAGATTGTCGCTGGGGGAGGGCCGCAGCCGCAGGTAGGGCTGGCCGCCGCCCTGCCGGGGCAGGGCCAGGCAGGAGGCGAGCA